GAGCAGGGAGGGGGGGGGGATATGACACCGCGGCGGGGGGGGGGGGGGGGGGCATATCCAACAGACTGTGACAGGAAAAAGTGATAATGATGATGAGTGATGGGAGACACGGCAGAGGAAACCAGGGGGAGCGCTGCACAAGGTGAAGCTGGAGAGAGAGGGGAGGACGGAGCACGTAGAGTTGCTCAGGATACAGTAAAGCATCTTGTATTTCACGTCGGGGCAACAGCAAGACCCTGAAGGGCTTTGCGCAGCGGCAGCATCACACGATTAGACGTGAGTTTCAGGAAGATCATTTCTTCTACTGTTTGAAGAATGTACCAGAGGGCGAGAGGAAATGTAGATAAACGAGGTAAGAGATTACTGCAGTGGTCCAGGTCAAACGTGATGGTGGCTCAGAACTGGAAGGGAGGGATAAGAGGTCAATAAACAGATCCAGAAGATACTTGGGAGATAAGCTCACCAGGACTCATGATGGGCCAGACAGGGGGACCAGGGAGGTGAACAAGATGCTCCTGGGCTTTGCTGTAACTACTTGGATGGGGACCTGTTCACACTGACTGAGAACACTGGAAAAGGACCAAAATCAGGTTGGGGGAGAAATCTTGAGTTTGGTTTTACACATAATGGATTTGAGATGCCTTTTGCAGATAGAAATATGGGGCTCAAGCTCCAGAAGAAACGCCTAGGAGATCTCTCAATCCATCTGTCCATCCACCAACCTACCCACTTTCCTACCTACTTTACTCTCTATTATATATATATGCATAATTTTTTATAATTTGGTGCTCTGTGATGAGAGGATATGGTGCTGAAATAAAGCATATTTTGTTTAAGATGTTCTCCTGATGTTGGCGAGTATACTTTTGAAAGAACGCCTGGTTTCTATCAAGTGTATTCTGTTAAATGATCAAAATGAAGAAATCTAGAAAGTTGGAGGATTAAGAATTGCTTATTCATCCTGATGGTAATTCAAAAAAAATTTATAGATGAACTACATACCTCAAAATATAGAGACAGACATACATACATATGTATGTGTACATATCTACCTAAGATCCATGTGTATATACACATATACACACACATCTCTACAGATATCAGGTAGACATGAATACATATATATGTGCATATACGTGTGTGTGCGTGAGAATGTGGTACCTCTCTATATACATCTGAGAGTCATCTCTAATAAAGGAAGCCACAGGTGTGGGAAAGAGGAGAGAACAGAGAGGTGGGAGAAAAGATGGCCCACCCAACACTGGGCACCTTGAGGAGCTTGGCTTTTAATGGCTCAAGGAGAGGAAGATGAACCTGCAAAGGAAACAGAGAAGGACCCTCAGAGGGGGAGAAGGAAAGCCTCAGAAGCCCAGGGAAAGTGCAGCTGAGGTCTCCTGAGTGTGGACAACTCATTCAAGAAGTGTGTGTACTCTGCTGTACACCTGATACTAACACAATATTGTGAGTCAACTACACTTCAATAAGAAACAGAAGAAAAAGAAGTCTGTTTATGAAGAGAAAGACAGAGTTGGTAGTAGCTGCAGCCGGGAGCTGACAGACCCTGTGGGATATTTTGTGGTATTTTTGTTTAAAGGAGACTTGTGAGTATATTTAAAAAGCAAAAAGCTGAAGGGGAAAAGGCAATGAATGAATGAATGAGAGTGAGTGACGGTACAAGGCCTTCGGAAGAGACCCAGCTCGTGTGTCCTACCTGACGGGGTAAGCCCTCCAGGGCTCAGCTCCCTCACCAAGTCTTCAATGCTTCCTTCCAGATCTTAAATTCTCCTTAACTATGAGCGACTCCCTGATCTGAGGTTAATGTGATTAACCACAGCACATGGACTTTCTGTGATGCACTTGTCATTTTTAGAGTATATCTAAACCTCCTTGAAATATATGATGGCATCTTTGAGATCACTTGAGAGCCTGTTAAATACTTGAGGACAGACAAATTCCAGATGATCTTAGAAGGGGATGGAGGGGAAACGATATTATAAAAAGGAAGACAAAGACACTTGGTAACAACAAAAGAAAGGTTCACTTAAGTCTCTGTGAATGAAACCACTGATTTTCTATTTTAATATTTCAGGCACACTGAAAAATACTAAACATGTAAAGATTTCTAGTGATTTCTAAGGAGTGTAGGGATAATAATCATTAATATCACTATTAATTACGGTCCTCAAATATTATGTGAGATTTTCTAATTCTGCTACTGCACGAATAAAAATCAACTGTTTTAGGGCTTCCCTGGTGGCGCAGTGGTTGAGAGTCCGCCTGCCGATGCAGGGGACACGGGT